ACAAAAGCGACTCGATTAATCCCACTTTCCACGCGTACACTCGCTCGAGTAAACAGATTCTTCTTTCCAGACCAGACTTTAATTTCTGTACATAATCGTAACAGAAAGAAAGTTTATTCGCTAATTGTTATTATAATTAATATTATTCCTAAAACACATTGTCACTGACATAACTCCAGCTTCAGCAGAATTTACATTAACCGATAGAAACGCGTCTGAATCGAGCATGGTCGTGTGAAAAATCACAATAGGCACTTGATCCGAACAATAAAATGCACGTACAACATACGCGTTATTCAAGAAAGAAAGGTTTTTGAGAAAGGAAGTGAACAAAATGGAGAATGGAATAAATCGCGTCAGAAATTTCATTTCCAACGGAGACCCCGTTTATCTCAATTGTCTGAATATTTTTAAACCTGCTGCAACTCGTTAAGGACTATTTTCACGAAAAAGAAGGAAAGTGGTTCCCTTTTTGAGAAACGTCCTCAATTAGAAACGATATCGCAGTGGGTAACGCGACACGGGACACGAATCGCTGCCGTTGCAAACCGTCCTTGTGTATTTATACACTTAATAGGAGCCTGACCGGTGGCCCGTGCCTTAATTCAAACTAATTTACATTTCACATATTCGCAAGGGCGAGGCACGCTTAGCGCCTCCATTTATCTCGGTTGAATTTAATTTTAGCTCGGCAAAGTAAAGTGCCACCTGTTCTTACAAATGCCATCGACCCCTCGTCCACCTTCCGGAACAATTGTACGCCTTATCTGAGTACTCACTTTCTCTCCTGTCCCTTCCTTCCTCCTATACATTTATGCCTTCTCGATCGATGCAACCAGCGTTCCATGCTCCCGCCGTTCTTATGTTTACTCGGTCTTTCTATCTCGAATAAACCAAGTTTTATCTCCTCTTCCTGCGGAAACGCAACTCTTCTTTCGCCCCCTTCACTCCCATTTCTTTCCCACCAATTTCTTATTTTTATTTCCTTTTCTTCGCCGGAACAGCGCAGTTCTATGCAGTGGCTAGCATAGAATCATAGTTTCATGGTTAGATTCGTTTGCGAACAATGATTCTCAACTATGCCCTTTTTATTTCCTTTGCAGAGCAGTGGCTAACATAGAATTACAATTTCAGTAAAAAATATCGTAATTAAAATTGCAAAATTATAATTTTTCTCTGAGACAATTGCTGTCTCTGTATTTGTAGCAGTAAGGATATTTTTAAGTTGATCCATTCGTCAAGGCGGTGTACGTACTTCCGAAAGAAATTGTATGACGAGAAGAGAGGGATGCGTTTAAATGCAAACGGCAAGCCCTGGTCTCTTCGCTGAAACATCGAGACACCGTTTGATTAACATTTTCGTCGCATCTGGAAAGTTTTGAATTCTTAGAAAATCCGAAATTACAAATTTTCATTAAAAACTTTCGCCGCCGATTTGCATAACTGCGCCGCCATGCTGTCTCCTGTACCGCATCACTGACGCGAGATTGGGCTTCGTTGTATCTCTCGATCCGTCCTTATCTAATATCTCTAATCTCATGCACCTCTGTTTATATCGATCGTCGACTCGCACGGTGATTATGTAATTAAAATTATCCTCGGACCTCGACAGTATCCTCGATAAAATAATAGCACACCCGGTAGTTATCAGCGTTCCTTGGAACCAATGTACTAGTATAACGTGACCGGCCCTTAATAATGCAGAGAAATATTAACTACAGTTTACATTTCTTTCCGTAAATTTTACTTGTTCGTGTGAAAACTGCTTAACATCTTAGGTTTTGGAAATTAAGGAATAAAAATTATCGGTCTTTGTTATTTGCACGAAAATATTCTAAAGACAGCAGTTTTTCCCAATGTCACTATCAATCTCTTCGATTAGTACTAATCTTTTCCTACAAAGTCAAATCAAATTTGATTTAGAAACGTTGAAAATCATAGAGCGTACTGTAGATCACCGGATCAGTGGTTCTCAACCCTCACGAGATGGCTAAGTTATTTATAAATCAGCCTAATCAAATTCCATACTAACGATGATTTTATACAACGTAGATCTAACGCAGGCATTAAATTTTAGGAAAAATAGTTGCAGAACGCGCCACGTAATTAACGCGCATCCTAAAGTTCGGAAACTAATTCGATAAAGATATTAAAGCAATCGTATAAAGATATTACAGGAGTTGTCTCCGCAAAGTTCAAATAGACAACCGGGTTTATGACACGAACGTCGAACGAAGCAATTTTTGAGAGCGTATTAATTAAAACTTTTATACTATAGTCGGCCATTCGAGCCGGAAGCCTGGATCCAAATTGCATTTCTGCTGAAACCCGTCTGCACGCTCGACAGCGATGGACGTGTGGCAAATTCGTAAACTTTGCACACAGAGTGCCATCATTCGCGCACACGGGGCCTCCTGGGCCTAGTTCCCCCACCGATTCTTTAGTCGAGGCATTAATTCGTTATTAATTTATAATTATTATCGTATACATAATTCCCAGTAATTTCCATATATCGATAATCACGAATAACTTTCTTCAATGAATTCAACCAATATTCGATGCATGTACGTAATTTAAAAATTATACAAATTTTATATACATAATTCGTATCTTTGTACATACATACTTCCCTTTGGAAGTATTAAACGTACCACGGATTGAGAACCACTGACGCGGAGTGCTAAATATTTTTTATATAATTACGTTCCAGTTAGGATTTTCAAACGTCGATGAAACTGTTAAATAATTCCTCGTGAAAGTACAGCAGGTGATATGCAAATGTTGGTAAATAGCCGAACATCAAGCAAAGTATAGTAGAGAGGATGGAGAACGCGAAAGTACATATTTTATTAAAGTCCCAACGACTGTTCCACGATATCACGTAGAATAACTTCGTAGCACGAACACGCCCAATATTTCTCACGGTGCTGGTTTTTCAGTTTCGTTAGCTATGCGACACCCAACGAACCGTCAATCGAGGACGCATTACAGACACCTACAGCTACGTGCACGAAAAATCCAACGTATTATTGGTTACCGAGTGACAAATAGACTTTCCTCGTCAGACTCCATATTACTTTTACGATATTACTCCGTATTATAAATTTTGAAATAGAACTATTAAATATAAGAAGCTTTAACTAAACACGGCACAAGGCTTATGAAAAGAAACGTCGATTATCTTGAGATCTCGCGCAAAATTGCTACGTCTTATCAAATTTTCCTGTTAAACTGCAAATAAAATAGACAAAGTTAGCCTAGTCTGGCATGGATTGAGATTGATAGGTGGTGGTCCTTAAAAATCCACGAGGGATCAAGAAAGTGGGAAATCTGGGTAAATAAAGGGCGAAATCTTCGCGTGCGAGTAATAACTACTGACTTCAAAAGGCAATGTTATCTTTGATTTATGTGCACGATGCCAAGACGATTCGAGGGTGAGTCGCTAGCGGCTGGTGCTCGTAGAAATGACTCTTTGATTTATTAAAGTCCACGAATCTTCCCGTTCGTATCGTATCCACTTATCGAGCTGTCCGTGCCTTCGCGCGATCTGTTTAACGTGCGCATAAAAGCTTTCTCCTGCTTTTTACCCGCTTCCTCTGCTCCCGTGGCAAGTAATTTCCAAGGGATTTCGCCGCCTGTTCGCGCCGCTACTTCCGAGAACGAACGAATCACACCGCCCTGACAAACTGTCCCCGCGACCTTGTTTCCCGATTTATCTGTCATCCCAGTCCACGAAACTCCTTTTTCCGGCCACGGGTCATTAACCCTGTCGATACCGCAGGCAAATATATCCGTTAAACGAAAATCGTATCTCTAGACCTGTTACTAGGCTATTAAATTATATTTTCCTAATATTTTTAACGAAATAGTATATATATAAATACTCGTGCATGAAAGTGTACGAAAAAGTGAAATATTCGAAATAATAGCGACACACGTTAGAAAATAATTCAGCTATATTTGCTGCAGTTAGAATGTTTGTTGCAAACGCGTATCATTGGTCAATTACAAAAATGTTGCATTGATAAGGTATAATGTTAGTCGGAAGCACCGTTAACTAGAAAAGTATCATGACTTTCCACTTAACTCACTAGCGCCACCACGGCTCGTATCTGCGATAAATGCGTAAGTCAACGTCGTACATGTCGCTGAATTATTTTCTAACTTTATCTATGTAATCTTGGAATCTTCTCCTCCCAGTTGTTGCGACGGATAAAGATAATCTATTCTTCCATTTTATTTGGTACCAGGTCTTCTGATAATCTCTGGTTTAAATCGTCATCATAAATTACATCTGTTTACGTATACTCTGATCGATCGTTCTTCTATGCACTCGTCAAAAGATTACAGGACTCGTAATTTTCTATTTTTCCAAGATACTCGATCTCTCGATTACTATTATCTCATAAATCTTCTCTCAACTGAGAAGATGAAAATTATACTGTTTTCGTTAAAAATACCGAAATTATTTTGTGACCAAGGCAATATTAATTCAACTCTATAATAATCAGGGATCGGTGACTGAAAAGCAAGGTAAAAGCGTCGCGTCCATGGAAACGCGTGCATTTAGTGATCGATTAAAAGAACGAGACCACGCGACCTCAAAGACGATACTTCCTGTGACTAAGCGGAACCGGAAGACAGACAGGTGAGATGGAGGCTCTGGCGTAATTTACGACAGGAGTGAAGCTAGGTAAACTCGACATGTGAGACACGAGGAGGTTAAACCAGATAATGCATTCGTTTTCGAAAAGTAATTGTTAGCTTGTGCATATGCATCGGCGTGGAATCGAGCAAAAATTCCTGACGTGGCAATTTAAATATTCAAAGATTCGCGGGCAAACACGTAACGCGTAATTTATGATCGAACCACTGGAAATTGGAATAGATAAAGCGGTAACCTTGCGAATTAAGAAATCAGCCGATTTTCCGAGAAACGATGCGTTTTAACGAGAACGAATCGATAAAATGACTGCCAAAGATGGCCGACGCGTAGCGACTTTTACTCGAAATACCTCATTGCGCGCAACTTCATCCGAGAAGCTCGTTCGAATACCGGTAATTTTGTCGGCCGTTCGAGTGAAATGTAAATTTTATGCCGCTATTAAAGTCGACCCTGTCGTCCGTCGCGGCCAGCCTTTCCATCGTTCATTCCACGCGCTGCCTTTACGAACCATCTTTGCCCCCAAAACTGCCCCTTTTCACCCCAAACCTCTCACGATTACATAATACACGCAGCGATTTATTTTTCTCTTTACGATACCTCTGCTACTCGGGTTCCTCGCATCCGCGCCATTTTGTGTACTGCTAGCGTAGCACGCGGACCTCGAACAACCGTGCAACATTGTTCCGAGGGAATTCCCTAACCTAAAAATTATCATTTAATTCAAATTTGCGTGCACGTGAAGCGTAACCACCCTAACGTGAAGTGAAAGCGTAAGTAAAGTAAAAATCACTTCGAAGAGGTAAAATCACCGATCAAAATTTTCACAATATTCTTTTTTCTTTCCTGTTTCATAAATGGGATCTCTCAGGGAGAAATTTCGACTTTCTATTTGAAGAAGCTCGCTCTGTCCGACGCCACTGTACACTCGCATTTAAGGGAAACTGTGATTGGACTGCAACTTTGAGTGACTATTTCATCCACGAAGTAAGTTCCACGTACTTTTGTTACAATCAGAATTTCTCAGTTAGACTACTGTTGCCTAAAATATGTATAGCGTTCGAATAAATGCATTCTTGTAGCCCTCGTTTCTTATAGCACTCGAACTTGATCAATAAAATCTGACGATCGACAGAGTTCTTCTAGAGGCTTCTAATCTTTCTTCTCTCAAAATATCTTTATTTCATCTTCCCTGCTCCCCGTTTCTACTTATCAAAATTAACAATATCATGGAAAAATCGGCAACTCGATTCGCATATTCCTAAATTCGTGTATATATTCGTGTATTTCTAGCAGGTACCTATGGACAGCAAAAATATTCGCGACTTTGGTACCTCATTATGGGAATTTTGTAGGGACGGATGCTGGAAAAATCGCACAGTTCTCGAACGATTCAGTACGAGCATGATCTCAGTTCGATATCTTATGAGACATGGCGCTTCGAAGCAAACGTATACTCTGTTCACCGCATTGTTATTTCCTCGCACAAAAGATCCGCGTGAAGTATTGTTCGCGCGAGAGTAAGATTTAATGAAAATCGTTAGAGCTTAGCCACGCGTTCCTTTTTTCGCCCACGGTTTATCGCCCGTTGACTTTCAGCCAAACAGAAACAATTAACTTCGTCAAAGTCGTCTGAATGCTCGCACGCGACCGATGAATTTACAAAGACCTCGTCTTTTGTACCGTCCTTTAATCGCATTATACCTCCCCGATTTTCCTTCTGCGAGAAAAGAGCTTCGCAAAAATTCAGGCACTCCGCGATTCGGTGTGCTCTGTCAAAATTCATCATCCTCGATTAGGTATAATGTGATAAAGTAAGCCATAAAGAAACCGAGGAAAAATACGGGGTTGTGCAATTTTAAATGCAATTTAAAAACTGCATCTCTGACTTCTGTTATCGAATACGATAAAATTTGTTTCCCAGCATCAGTCTGATAAATGTTCGAAAATTTGGCGAGAAAAAAAAAATTGTTATTTTTTACCCTGCAAAATCGGTATTTACCTACGTTCGTCAACATTTCGAATATCAGCGAGATTGGAAAGTTTACAATTTCTTGCTCGAAAATTGAAAATTATAAATTAAAATTCATCGCGTACTTAAGACTGCAGCTATCAACTAGAACTGTGTACCCAAATATAATATGCATAGATAACATTAACAGTAGCGAGATAAATGGAAAATAGATATATAATATTAGTTATTAATAATTATCTATTATTAATTATTTATTATTCATTTTCTTCCCTAATTTTTCCTGTCTTCTTTCGCTTTCGATGTCAACGAAAATAACTTAAGATGCTCGAGTGAACTGAAACATCCTGTATACGTAAATATTTTTTCTTCGAAGCGTTCATGTCAAACTTCATTCTTGTCGATGATGCTACTTTCCATTGAGTAGCACTAATAGAATTCTCGAAACCTCCGATCGGCGTTAGCAATTTCCAAGGTAAATGAAACAAATTTACATGCTCGCTTATCACGGAAGACGATAACTAACGAATAATACGTTTTATCTAACATTAGTACTATGCAGATAATCGATATGCGCCATATTTCAGATTTGTATATAAAATATAACGATACGTTGGACTATGCAGTAGACGCCAGCCAGGTTTCGGACTGTACAAACAAGCTTATCTCGCCGGTAATTCCAGACAAAATCGTAGATGTTCGTGTTTTCGGCACGTACATGTATTCCCATCAAGGTGTAACTAGAGTCCTTGGTTGCAAAATTAATAATTATCAACGACTTACGTCCTGAAGCGAAAAATTCCACTTTTTTGGAGCCACTAATTTATTTCAATTAGGATACGGTTACTTAGGCCACTGTATGGTTACTCGAATGACCCATAATGAGAGATCTAAGAGACCTAGTCACTCAAAAGTCGAGAAGTATACGTGGTTTTAAAACTTGATGCGCGCCATTGCCGTGATTAACAAGTGTTTGACGAAGAAAAGAGGAAGTGGGGGGATGGAGTGCGAAATACGAAATACGAAACATTCGTAGGATGCGAGCGGCGAAGCAACGACCAACAGAACTACACACGCGTTCGGGAGTATCCTCGACGTGAGAGTGCCTTGGGAATAGGTGGGGTAGCTGATCTCACGTTTTCGACCATGTAGTTTTACTCTCCCGTTGGGTCTCGTCTGTCTGTTCAAATTCGTGCGTTACGTAACGCCTCGCTTGATTCCGCGCGGAAGAATAGGAAACCGGACGAGTGAAGAACGAGACATACTTTACCGATCGAGTGACATTCGATGGGTCAAAAATATTTGAAATGCTTCACCTAAGCAACCTAACCTAACCTAACCTAACCTAACCTAACCTAACCTAACCATTCCTCGGATAATTGATTTGTTATTCATGTTTTGTATCTTGACTTCGCTGTATTTCTAGTATATATTTCACTTTGGAAATTTTGGAAAACTAGAATTTCGGTAATTCTTTGAAATTTTAAAAAGGTTTTAACAAATTTTCGTAAATAGCTTTTTACCATCTTAAGGTTAATTATATAATTTCAATTAACGTGTAGTTTTATTTTGTGTGTAGAGGACGCTGCTTGTCACCGAAAGACACGGTTGTGCCATCTAGTATCAAAACCGAGTACTACGTACTGACCAAGCTAAAACTACAGACAGTATAATCTGTGCTCCAGCGTTTGCCTTGTCCTATAGATATACTTTTTGTCGTAAATATTGGTCATTGTTTAAATAATATTTCTCTCACTAATTCTTTTCCTACGCGTACGAAATTTGTAGACATACTATTTGCACAATCTTTCACATAATCTTTTATTTATTTGTTCCACCGTTTAAGGCATCAATGTCTGGTATGTTGGTAATTTTGGAAGTTACTGTAAATTACGAGCAAACCTTAAATGTTCTGATAACTTTAAATCGAAATTCGTTTGTAGTAACAAGACGAGTTCTGTTTTCTGTTTCAGCAGAGACATAACAATGTGGTTTACGTGGAGGGCTGTGCTTCTGCTCGTAACATTAATCTACATCACAAGAGAAGGTAAAATTTTCCACATATATTTATGTTTATCAGAAAATTATCTAAAATAAACGCATCGGCAAACGAATAAATGGAACGAAATATAAACTAAAAACTTTTCCTCTTCTTTCCTCTACAATTGGGATGTAAGAAAAATATTTAGTAAATTAAATAAATTCGCAGGTGATGCAAATGAGTGCGCGCCTCGCAGTTTCGGCGAAAATAGGATCGTATGTGTTTGCAACGCGACTTACTGCGATGACACGCCAGATAACGACCCAAAAGTTCTCGCGAACGGAACCGTTTACTGGTACGTGTCTAGCGAGGAAGGACTCAGGATGCAAATGTCATCGGCACATATCGGTTCCTGTTCAGACTCGAACTCCGTGGTTCTCAACATAAATACCGCGGAGAAATATCAGACGATCCTCGGGTATGGCGCTGCTTTCACGGACTCGGCAGGAATACATATTAGCAGTCTGAGTCAGCCTGTCCAGGAACAACTACTTCGGTAATTAGTAAAATCTTTGGAGGCTTTATTTTCATTTTTGCAATTCTCGGAATCGTGACAAATTTTCAAATATCAGTCTCAAATTTTATGAAAGCGATCCCTGAAATCCTAACAGATTCGATTCCCCATAAGCGTCGCTGACTGTTTCCGCGGCTGCATCAAATTATTAAATATCGGTCTTAATTTTCGAGAGGCGAATTTCTACGATACGATTCAAAAATATTTATTTACTTTCTTTTTTTTCCTTTTGTTTCTTTCATTTCTAAACTCGCAGTTCAGAAGACGTGATCGAAAAAGTGGGACAGGAAACGTGTGATAAAACACAAAGAAGTAAGGTACATTCATTAAAAACGCGTTCTTCGTCATTTACAGGTCATATTTCGATTGGACCGGAAGCAGGTACTCGTTAGCCCGGATCCCAATCGGTGGAACTGATTTTTCCACGAGACCTTACACCTACGATGACGGAAATGCCGACCCGACGTTGCAGAACTTCAGGCTTGCTCAGGAAGATTACAAGTATAAAATACCATATGTGAAAAAGGCTGTCAAACTAAACCCCAATGTGAAAATATTCAGTGCCGTGTGGTCACCGCCAGCTTGGATGAAAACGAACGACCGTATCAATGGATCAGGTAATAAGTGTGGCAGTAAGAAAGAATCGAGGATTCGTTTAAAATAATTTCTTGTATATGCGTTATGATATTGCATTAGCACGAGACTAATTTCAACTGTTATCTAGGCTTCCTGAAGACTGAATATTATCAAGTTTATGCCGACTACATAGTGAAATTCCTCGAAGAGTATAAAAAGAACGATCTTGACGTCTGGGCAGTTTCAACAGGCAACGAACCCATGGATGCGTTTGCGCCTGGTAATCGCCTCAACTGTCTGGGATGGATACCGGAAACCCAGAGGGAATGGATCGCTAATAATTTGGGCCCAACTTTAGAGAATTCTAATCACAATAAAACACTAATCCTTTATTTGGATGATCAGAGATTGTTCATACCTTGGGAAGTAAATAAAGTCTTCATGAATAAAAAGGCCAAGGATTACGTCAGTGGCATAGCTGTACATTGGTACACAGATTTTATTGTTCCTCCAACTCAGTTAGATAAAACACACGATCTCCATCCAGAAAAATTTATTCTCATGACTGAAGCATGTACAGGTACGTCATTTAAGCATAATGTAGCAATAGTTGAACATGTGTGATCATTCAGATATTATATTTCAAACTATCATTACACATGAAAAGCGAAATGAATTTGTTCCACGGGCTTCGATCAAGAAATGCACTGAACTAGACAGACAATGCTATTAAAAATTACATACTATAAAATAGTATTTCTTTGTACATAGGAAGCGAATTTTTCGAGGAGCGAAAAGTTATTTTAGGATTATGGGAGAGAGGAGTGATTTATATTTTAAGTATAATACAGGTAAAGTGCGATATCAAGTGTGATCAAAATTTATATGAAACATGAATTAGTATACGCATTATTATTTTTCCTTAGAGTATTATTTTTATTTACAAGAAATATTCTATTTTTAGTACATGAATCATTGGGGTGTCGGTTGGGTAGATTGGAACATTGTTCTGGACCAATCAGGTGGACCAAATTGGATTAAAAATTACGTCGATGCTGCCATCATTGTAAATGCAGAAAAGGATGAATTTTATAAACAACCGATGTATTATGCTATCAAGCACTTCAGTAGATTCGTCGCGCGAGGCTCCGTTAGAGTTTCTATTTCCGAAGCTCTCAATATTGAAGCCACAGCCTTTGTCACACCCGCAGACGAAGTCGTTGTTGTTGCTTATAACAAGTAATAAAACCTTATTTCTAATTATTCACAGCTAATGGCGAAATGTCTTTTAGCCTTCGATATTATTATAATTAAGTTTCACGATTTATGCACAATTAACAGGCATTTTTATCAAGTTTATTTTACTTTGCAGGAACCCTCTGGCGACAGACGTTGTTCTAAACGATCCAAACAAAGGACCTATTTGCTTGGAATTACCTGCGCATTCCATGAATACTGTGATTTATGCGAAATAATGTTTGAAATTCGCGTAAAAAATACTAAAATGTGTATTGAAAACAGAATGTATCGCTCTATATGAATTGTGCATGTAGTATATATATATTATAACGCAGATAAAACCTGTCAGTGACTGCTCCACTCAAATTTTAATCTATATTAGCCATTAGGTAATACTTGTTTAGTTTATTTCCCTGAAAATGAATCCGCAATCGAAATTTTTCTATCTCTATTTGTTTTAACGAATTGTGAGTTTTCCTAAAAACGCACTATTTTGGGAAAAATAAAGTATTACATAATAAAAAAGAACGTTAAAAAGTACATTCTCGTGTTAAAAGTTAGCTGAAAGTTTTTTTTTAACAACTTTATACTTAAAAATCATTCGTATTTTTGTACCCAGTAACAAAATTGTTTCAAATTACAAGTGATTTAGTAAATATTTTTTGTAATCAGTTTGAAAGAGTACATGAAAGCATACACATGTTATATGTATTGCACTGGACTATCATTTTAGTGTCGATTACGCACAACCGCGGCCCTGATGCATGTAAACAGATATGCGAACAATGAATAGCGGTAAAATCCTTACGGGTTCCGGATAAATATTTTACCAACCTGCGAACTTTCAAGATTATCCTAATATTGTTTTTGGATGGTCTTTTTTCAGAAAAGCCTACAGAATAAGATAGTGTGAAGCATATTCCAGTTACATAAAATACTTTTTGTAAAAATGTAAGAATAGTGCGCAAGAAGTACGCTCGGAGGCTTACTTTTAAACTTTGATGACCAATTATCGTTATTCAGAAACACAAATATCCATAATTATGTTCATTGATAATCTCGGAATACTTTCACCTAATGTGTAAGCAACTTGTAAAACCTTAAGGTCCGAAAATCTTTGTACGGTATTGTTGCCAACAAAAAAAAAAAAATACTAAGATACTAAGTATACTTATGTATATTTTATGAATCAATCAAAAATTTTTAATTTTTAATTCAAAACCTACGTTTTGTATTAGAATTACTTCTTGCGTGAATTTTAGGACATTCATTATTATAGTAATTTTTGGAAGATATAGAAAATAATATAATCTAATAGCTTATTTATATAACATCTGAACAAAATTACGTCGAATACTATTGTTAAAGTTCACAGATTGTCATAAAATTTTTCTTTGCATGTAGAAGTTCAAAATAATAGAACCGTTTATACAAGGTAATTACTCATCTAGATAATGCTACCGGTAACCAGCAATATTTTATACCCTGTAAAAACTTGCTTATATAAGTATGTCAGTTGACTTCTGTTCCTATCGTTCTCGACTATGAATATAGAACATACACGCTTCTACCGAACATCACTTTCTCCAACAAAGGCATGCTTATTTTTATATTATATCTTTAAATTTAATATTTACGTCCCAGAGGATAAAAAATATATAATAATTCACATATATCTTCTTCCTCAATTTTCATCCGTAAGTATACTTGTATATACACCTTCTTTTTGGTCACTGGTTAGTCACGTTGAAATATACGTCCCTCACTAATTAATTAATAATTTTCTATTTGACAGTTTAAAGTTTAAGTTACATTTTAAGGTTTAAACGACAGAAAGTGATAAGTGAAATACGGGTACCAGAAACTTGACATTTAACTGGCGGTATCATAAATTTAGCGTGCCTGGGGTAACTAGAGCCCTTGTTTGTAAAATTAATAATTGTTCACATCTTACGTACTGAAGTAAAAAATTATTCATTTCTGAAACCACTAAGTTATTTCGATTGGAATACGGATACTTAGATCAGTGTATAGTTATTGGAATGACCCATAATCAGAGATCTGATAGCTTTTGTCACCCAGCAGTCGAGAAGAAAGTGTTCGTTGCTTTAAAACTTGATGCGCGCCATTGCAATGACTAACGAGTGTCTATCGAAGAAAAGAGGAAGAGGCGGGGTATAGAGTTCGAAATAATATGAAACAGTCGTAGAATATGGCCAGCTTCTCAACGATCAACAGAATCCATACTCGTTCGTGAGTATCCTCGGCGCGACAGTGTCTTGGGAATAAGTAGGATAGCTGATCTCATGTTTTTGGCAATGTAGTTTTAATGTCCCGTTGGGTCTCATCTGTTTGTTTAAATTCGCGCATTACGAAACGCTCGCTTGATTCCGTGCGGAAGAAAAAGAAACGAGACCAGTGAAGCAGGAGACATACTTTACCGATCGAGTACCACTCGATGGGTCAACGTATTCGAAATGCGACAGATCAAAACTTACCATTCCTCGGATAATTGATTTGTTATTCATGTTTTGTATCCTGACTTCGATGTATTTCTGGTATATATTTCACTTTGGAAATTTTGGAAAACTAGAATTTCGGACATTCTTTCAAATTTTAAAAAGGTTTTAATAAATTTTCATAAATAGCTTTTTACCATCTTAAGGTTATTTATATGATTTCAATTAACGTGTTATTTTATTTCATATGTAGAGGACGCTGTTTGTCACTGAAAGACAAGGTTATGCCATCTTGTATCAAAACCGAGTACTACGTACTGACGAAGCTAATACTACAGACCATATAATCTGCACTACACCTTTTTTCTTGTACTATATTTATACCTTGTGTCGTAAATATTGGTCGTTGTTCAAATAACATTTCTCTTACTAATTCTTTAAAAAATTTTTTTTTAATTTTTTATTTATTTGCTCCACCGTTTAATGCGTTAATGTCTGGTAAATTAGAAATTTTACAAGTTACTGTAAATTACGAGCAAACTTTAAATATTCAAATAACATGAAATCAAAAAGTAACTAGACATGTTCTGTATTCTGTTTCAGCAGTGACATAACAATGTGGTTAACGTGGAGGGCTGCGCTTCTGCTCGTAACATTAATCTACATCACCAGCGAAGGTAAAAATTCTCCACATATATTTATGTTTATCAGAAAATTATCTAAAATAAACGCATCGGCAAACGAATAAATGGAACGAAAAATAAACTAAAAACTTTTCCTCTTTTTTCCTCTACAATTGGGATGTAAGAAAAATATTTAGTAAATTAAATAAATTCGCAGGTGATGCAAATGAGTGCGCGCCTCGCAGTTTCGGCGAAAATAGGATCGTATGTGTTTGCAACGCGACTTACTGCGATGACACGCCAGATAACGACCCAAAAGTTCTCGCGAACGGAACCGTTTACTGGTACGTGTCTAGCGAGGAAGGACTCAGGATGCAAATGTCATCGGCACATATCGGTTCCTGTTCAGACTCGAACTCCGTGGTTCTCAACATAAATACCGCGGAGAAATATCAGACGATCCTCGGGTATGGCGCTGCTTTCACGGACTCGGCAGGAATACATATTAGCAGTCTGAGTCAGCCTGTCCAGGAACAACTACTTCGGTAATTAGTAAAATCTTTGGAGGCTTTATTTTCATTTTTGCAATTCTCGGAATCGTGACAAATTTTCAAATATCAGTCTCAAATTTTATGAAAGCGATCCCTGAAATCCTAACAGATTCGATTCCCCATAAGCGTCGCTGACTGTTTCC